ACATCATCAGTGCTTGTGAAGGTGGACAAAAATATCGTCATCCTACCAGCAGATAGAGGACGAATTACTGTGGTTACTGACTGCATTCAAAAGGCTAGACAACTACTTCACGACACAGGCCACTTCACAAGCACTGATGATGTCACCTCGGCTGATGATGAAACGTTTGCAAACAAATTGCCAAGCTCGGCAAACAGGCGAAATGGAATTCAGTTCACCCGAGCTATGAGAACCGATTTTCAATATTTTGTCAACATTTAAAATGTCTTTTTATTGCGATGGGCTTATTAGGTGATGGTTGACAAACAGGTGTGTTTTATGCAAAGCCGGTAGTCCTTGAACAGTTGTCTCAGACCAGATATTATTCTAACCCTGCTAATCAATATGAAAGCCGATTGTTTCATTGCTTCTTGAACTCCATTGGAAACGAATCCGATTTGGTCTGTAATCAACCGCATACCAATTCAGTAATTTGAATGATGTAGTTGTTTGAAGCGTGTTGAAACTGGTTCTGGTCTCATCATCAGACTTGATTGTCTCGATAGACTTCATATACATGGCGATTATGCACATGGACTGTATCAGTCCATACAAAAAATAGAGATTTATCGTATTTCCATATTTATGAAGAGAACTGATAGCTCTTGATGTTGTTTCTGTCGAATGAACACTTTAAAATTCAGCTCACCAAACCACTACGAGGCTAGAGGAACATCCAGCAATCACTGCATGTGGCCTAGTTGGTCATGTAACAACGATTTGCAATATACTTTGCAGTTTTCCTCCAAATTTGCTCATGATTTCTAGGCCGGGTGTTTTTGCTGCAAGATCTGTTGTGGCAATCCCGGTTGGTGGAACTTCTTTGTCGGTGCCAAACTTGGCTTATCTATTAGGTTATGCAAGAATTAGTGAAGTTAACATGTGATTCTGAAACTCAGTGACTAAGACCGCGAGGATTAAAACTCAAAATGTGTAAATATCTTCATCAAATTGGGAATAATCACGTGGCTCAGCACTGCAGTAACATATAGAAGTGCTTGTGATTAGACTGGAGGCTGGTCAATATAGTATTTGTGGTACTTGACTGGAATTCGTTTCAATCTGAAGACTGTAATCACTTGCATATGACCAAATTTTAAAAAGCTTATGTTTGATGAAAAGTGCGTTTTACTTTACGGTGGCTATTGGTGGCATGATCTCGATTTGGGGCAGGAGGTGTGGGGAATTAATTTGTAGGTTTTTAAATTTTGAATTTCTCCAAATTTACAACAATATGGTATTTGAAGCATTGAGTTCCCTTTATCCATTTCATCACAAGTGTCAAGTGATGGCAAGAAATCCAGGATCATCTGTTGCAAAACATCTCATGGCAACAAGACACAGTTGACCCCAATTCGTCTTTAAAACCACTATTACGCAATCGAAATGCAAAACTTTTAGCGATTAGTGAAGGACTGCTTATTCGATTACATCACCCGACCCTATGCGCAGAGAAGTTTTTGATACAAGCGATCCCCTTACCGTGGAGCTGACCTTCTACTTCTAAATTTAGTAATCATTGTATGCTTGTACACTTCTGTTCACCAAAATTGATTCATCCGATGTTCTATATATGTGCCTGTTTGTTTTAAGTCAGCGACTGAGAAGATTAAACGAAATGTTAACATCTCGCGACATTTGTCTTCTTTCTGTTTTGATGAAATATGGTATTTGACTGAAATTCCACTGTTTGTGAGAAGATCAAAGTTTATCTTGAATGAGAATTTGTGGCCATTGAACAAGGGCATTATGGTCAGTGAAGCGGTCACACGGTATGTTGTTCTCGGGTTTCGTCACACAATTGATTGTTCGTTTCGATTCCCGTTATGATTGAACGATTGAAAACAGTGTATCGCTTTTCGGTCCATCGTACCCGGCTTTTCTCCAATCTCACAAACACAGAACGTAGAAAATATTATTTCGTAATTCTTGATTTGCAATGACTGGCAGAGCGAAATAAAAAAGGGCGTGTAGCGTGAAAACAAACTCGCTCTAACAGTGAAAGCTTAACTGGCATTTCAGCTGTGGACCACAGTTTGTGAAGCGGATTGGCAATATNNNNCTGTTTAGTTACCGTTTGAGCCGATTTGACCAATATATTTAGGCATTTCGAATAAAGCACGGTTTGGAATAAGATACAGTTCACTTGGGTTCGTTTTCTTTAACCAGAAAGGCTCTTGTCCACTGTTTTCAGTTCAAGTGCGTAACTTTAGTGCTTCCCGTGGTAACCTATCCTTCTTCCATGGTTTTAGTCTTGTTAGCAATTCGTTTCGTGATGAGCACCAAGATTCTTCCAAACGGACAGACTTTGACGTTTATTGGATAAGAAAGGGTGTTTGGAAAGCGGTCCACAATGCAGGATGAGAAACAATCCAGACAAAGGTTGCGAGGACCATGGCCAGGGCAGGATGAGCCTCAAGTGAAAACTGAATGAATGCATCTGTGAGTGTGCCTATCCACACATCGGGATATACCAGGGATAGGAGTTAAAT